GACGAGGAGCGGTCACACGTGTCTCCTGTCTCGCTGTAGGCTCTGACACTTTGCTCCCACTCTCGCACTTTGCTCCCACTCTCTGCTCCCTGGGGAGAGCAGGACGTCCGGGTCCAGCGGCAAACTCCCACCGGCTTCATGTTCCCCTGGGACCAGAGAGAGGTTTTCACTGGGATTTGCGGCCAAGTTGCAGGCCGGTTTGCAGTCATGCAAGTGTTGATGATGCCGTCAGGCCTCGGGGAAAGGGAGAACACGGGGGCTTGAGAGACAGGTCGGACACACACACACACACACACACACACACCCCAGTGTTTCCCTGCCAGGCTCGCGCCTGAGTAAGGAAACAAAGTCGCAAAGACGGCACCGTTCAGCCTGCGTGAATCGCCAGGAACGGCCGAGGAAATCGTTCAGCAACACGGGGCTGCTCTCAATGGGTCCGGAGTCTCTGCCGACGAGGTCCCCACGGAGAGACCTTCAGAAGGCTGACATTGCATCTTTAAGCAACACTGTGGTGTCCAGGTCTTTGCAGCGCGCTTGCCGCACTGGGCCTGGGCCCGCAGGGCACCTTCGTAATAGGGAGCGGAGAGATTTCGGGCTCAGAGGGCGTCTACGTTGCACTAAACGGCCCGTGGCTGGCCTGACTGACAGTCCCAGCCTGGCCTGCTCTCCTGGATGTTTTACAATGGAGAGCGAAGTGCAGCATGTTTCCTTCGGGCCATTCGCCGTGTGTGGCTGGCCAAGGGACTCTACTTCCTCTGGGACACCCTGCGCCCATCCCATTACCGCCCGGGTCTGCCCACACCTGCGCCTGTGCTGCTGTGTAGACACGGCCTACGCGGGCGGGAAGGGCTCCCCCTGAGGTAACACACTTCCCTGAGCAGCGGCTTGCGCTGTGTACGCCCTGGGTTGGCGCGCTAGGGCGCCGCCTCTCGCAGGCGTGGCTTTTCTCCCCCCTGCGAGACGGAGTTACACCCACGTCAATTCCTCGTGCGGCGCCGAAGGGAACAAGACCTCCTCGGGTTGCGAGAAACGCCACCGGCAGCATCTTCCTTCCCAGCTTGAGCTGCTGGTGTATGTCAGTGCTCAAGGGTCAGAAATCATTCGGAGCCACTCGGGCCAGGCCTCCCCTGCCGGGTTTAACCAGTCGCTCTCTGGGGTACGCCTGCGGTAGCTGACATGCTTTGAAAACGAAACTGCCCTCCAATGCAGGCAGGCCATGTTGCCTGCAGCCGCGCCCCAAACTGGTACCTTTTAGTAAGCCCGCATCTCGCCTTTTTCTTCAGTCCTCCCGCCACGGCACTAGCAACACTGCTGCTCCTCCAGCCAGAGCAGTGGTGGGTGCGTGAGGGGAGACTGGTTCACGCTGACTTCACCGACGTGTCTTCTCACCCTAGGGGTGGGTGGGGCTGCGGTGGAACAGCTTGTGGCCAGGACACGTGGTGTTCCAACTTTTATTCTGAGCCCCTGGTAGGCGTGTACCCCAAAAAGCGTTTGTGATTTCCCACGCGGCGGGTTTAGCCACAAGGCTTTTAAAACCGGGACAGTGCAGGAACCGGCCTTCGGCCAAACGGGGGGCGCTCGCGGGAGGTGGGTGCTCACCCCGTTACAGTGTATCAGCATGAGGCGGTCTCTGGATAATCAGAACCCGAGAAAGTGCAAAACTCCATGCTGCAGGACTGGTTCTCACAGCTGGTGTGTGCTGTCATCTTCCTGTCAGGTTCAGTCTGATTAACTAACGAGCAAAGTTAACGGTTAGGAGAGAGGTCTATAAAATCATGACTGGTGCGGAAAAAGTGAATAAGGAAAAGTTACTGACTTATTCCCACAATATAAGAACTAGGGGTCGCCAAATGAAATCAATAGGCAGCTTGTTTAAAACAAACCAAAGGAAGTGTTTCTTCACTCAGCGCACAGGCAACTTGTGGAACTCCTTGCCAGGGGATGCGGTGAAGGCCAGGACTTTAACAGGGTTCAGAAAAGAGTGAGATAGATTCCTGGAGGTTAGGCCCAGCAATGGCTATTAGGCAGGATGGGTAGGGGTGGTGTCCCCAGCCTCTGTTTGTCTGGAAGTGGGTGACAGGAGAGGGATCACGTGAGGATTACCTGTTGTGTTCCCTCCCTCTGGGCATCTGGTATTGGCCACTGTGGGCAGACAGGACACTGGGCTGGATGAACCGTTGGTCTGACCCAGTCTGGCCGTTCTTATCTTCTTAAAGTACATCCACTCACTTATTCAAGGCTGCTCGATTACTGGGTCAGTTCAAACCCTTGCCGGAAGAAAGTGGCACCACAGCTGACAGGCCGGCTGTTCGCAGAGCTGGCCGCAGAGGCTTGTGCTGGAAGAGCAAGAGGCCAATTGTCCAAGCCCTAATTCAAGAGCATCCTCCAAAAACCTCGGGAGGGAAATGCCGATTCTGTTTGAATACATCACGGGAACCAGCTAATCGAGAGGCATGGTGCCTGGGAGAATGAGCAGGGGTGCCAGGGAAGGACTCACCGGGGGTACAGGGTGAAAATCAGGGTCTGTTTTCTTAGCCAGGGAAAAACCGGCCATTGAATAGCGGCAACAGAGCGAGGTCAGCGTGGGGCGGCCCTCCCCCCGTGCCCAGGAGAGTTCAGTCTGAATTACGATTTACCAAGATTTCTGGCGTATTTTCTCATCCGATCCCATGGGGCGGGCGTGTAACCGGCCCAGCTGGCCGGGGGCGACGCAGATTCCAACACAGGGCCTTTAGCAAGTTCTGTGGATACAGCAGATCAGGGACAGCTGCTCTTCGTGCCCGCGACCCGCCTTAATTTGACTCGCGTGGGGTTGAGGAGGAGAGCTGTGTGTGCAGGAGGGGGCTCCGGCTTGCGGGAGGGGGGGAGGGAATATCCTAGCCCAGGGGTGAGGAATCTCTTTTGGGTCAGGAGCCACTGAGCCACAGAAAAACCAGTCGGGAGCCGCACACCAGGGGGAAGCCAAAACCTCACTGCCGTGGCCTCCGACTGAGAAGCAGACAGACCCTCCCCACGTTCCCCTCGTACCTCAGAGCCTGGGGGGCAGGGTGATAAGATTTTTGTAGGGCCCCAGGCTCTAGGGTGGTGCCGGAAATGAGGGGTTCAGTGTGTGGGAGGGGGGCTGCTGGGACGCAGGCTTGGGGTCTGGGCAGGAGGGAGGGTGCCGGAGCGGGATGGTGTGGGGGGGTGCCAGAGCAGGTTGGGCGTGCGGGTTTGGGCAGAAAGGGGTGCAGGAGCCACTTCCTTCCCCTGCCAGTGGGCTGGATCCGGACCCAACTTGCCGACTTTGGCCTGTGAGGTTTGGGGTTCCCCCGCCCCACAGCGGGGAGAAATTGCTGGTGCTCCAGCCCCATGGAGGAGACTGCGGGTGGGGGAGGGGGCTGCCCGATGCAAAGGGGGAGCCCTGAGCTTCAGGGTCCGGATCCAGGCAAGCCAGGGGTCATATCCGGCCTCTGGGCCTTAGGTTCCCCACCCCGTCCTTGCCCGAATTTTGTTTGTTTTTCCTCTTCTGCTTACAGATGCTACATGTGTTCTGGGGGGCAGCCTAGCAGGGTGGGGTGTTTCCCACTGAGCCAGCCTGCGCTTGTTTCCCTGGGGGCACAGGACACTGGTGCCCATGAGGGAAGCCCCCAACATGGAGGTGAGGGGACGTATCGAGCTGCCGGAGGGATGCTGATGCTGCTGCTTTTGCCGTTCTCTCCCCTCAGGACCATCAGACCATCCTGAGAGCCTGGGCTGTGAAGGATTTTGCTCCCAACTGCCCCCTCTACGTCCAGATTCTAAAGCCTGAAAACAAGTTTCATGTCAAGTTTGCGGGTGAGTTTGCTGTAAGCAGGTCTGGGTGCCCGGCTCACCCCCAGAATCCCGAGGGGAGGCGTAATGCTGAACGCAACCACCAGTCTCGGGATGTGCCTGAGTAGTCGCTGCTATTCACCACCCTGTTCCTCCCAGCCACCAGTCTGAACCTCGCTTAAGATTGGCCAGACTGGGTCAGACCAGGTCCGTTTAGCCCCGTGTCCTGTCTGATGACAGTGGCCAAAGCCAGATACCTCACAGGGAATGAACAGAGCAGGAAATTATCTTGTGATCCACCCCTCTTCGCCCATTCCCAGAGGCTGGGGACACCACCCCTACCCCTCCTGGCTAATAGCCATTGACGGACCTAACCTCCATGAATTCATCTGGTTCTTTTTTGAACCCTGTTAAAGTCCTGCTCTTCACAACATCCTGTGGCAAGGAGTTCCACAAGTGGGTTCTCTAAATTTATAAACCACAGAACAGTTTAGAATCTGTGACCAGGGGCATGGTAACAAAGTGAGAGGGCTTTTCTTATCTTCGGAGCATTTGTTTATCCCCGCGACGCATTTACAAAATGTGAATCGTGAATTCTGCCCTCTCTCTGTCCTCAAACGACCTTTGTGGGACCAGCGGCAGGACTGGGCCTACATTCAAGTAGGTTACCAGATTTGATTTTTTTTTTCGAGCATGATGCATTTTTTCTATAGCGAACACTTGAGATTGAATACCGTTCATTAGGCTGTCAGTGGGATACCTCGCCCTTCATCGAACAAATCGGAACCAGGCACTGGGATGTGAAATTCATCCCTCTCCCCACACTGTGCCTTGGCAGATTTCCATTCTGTGAACCTATTTTCCCTCCCTGCATTCATTCCAGTTTTCATTGCTCCCCCTGTCTCCCCGAGGCTGGGCTTTGATTAATTGACAACCTCTGTGGCACACACAGGAAACAAGACGCTCTCCCCTGCAGCCCCCCTTCCGAGCTAAATCAATCTGCACTGACTTCACGGGAACGGGAACAGAAAACAAGCCGTCTCCCGTGTCCTCAAACAGCTGTGTGCACTGTGTACCCCCCTCCCCCCACCCCGATCCGCCAGTGCAGCTACTGGATCATCCATGGCCAGTTGTAGGAGGTGTGGGCATCAGAGAAATGCCAGCGGGGTTAGAGGGGGGTAACGGCCCTCTCCTCTTCATTTCAGATCACGTGGTCTGCGAAGAAGAATGCAAATACGCCATGCTGGCCTTGAACTGCGTCTGCCCAGCAACCTCCACGCTCATCACCCTGCTGGTTCACACCTCCCGGGGCCAGTGAGCGCTGTTGTTTTCCCTTCTGTTGCCTGCGGCGGGACCGGTTTTGCACATTCGGCTCTTCTTGACACTTGCGTGGGGTTAAAAATAGAGTGGGGAGGGGAGGGGGAGCTGAGTTGCAAAGCTTAGCTCCAGAGCTAGCTGAACGTAAATCTGTCTGGAGAGAAAGCACGGTCTGATGTTCTTGTGTTAAAGAGGCTCAGAGAGGAGGAGGGAGGGTCATCTATTCAGGGCTCTGCCACTGCTTCCTCTGTGACCATGGTGCTGTCACTTAGCCCCACCCCATTTGTCAAATGGGGACGGCAATGCTGCCTTTCTTCCGCACTTTTCCATTCAGACAGCGGGACTGTCACTTATATGTTGCTACAGTGCTTCTCTGCTCGTGGCTGGGGTCTCAAAAAGGCTACCAGAATGCCAATGCTCAATAATAATTACAGTACCAGCTGTGGTAGCTGCTCACCTGCCCTCTGGAGTCTCCCCCATTGCTTTGCCGAGCGTGGGCCCTATGGCCTGGCGGCGTATTTCCGTACTCAAAGGCCCTTCTCAAAGGCTCAGGACGACACCAGAGCGCAGCGTGGGTCTTCCATCAGGCCGGGAGGCTGTGGTCAAAAGTCAGCACGGCACAGGGAGCGGTGGGGTGAGGGAGCAGAGATGTGCAGCTTAGTCCGCGGTGGCAAACACAGCGCCACCTCTCGCTGCGGAAGGCCTGGATTTTGAAGGCCTCAGCCCCTCGCTTCCCCCCTCAGTCTCCTCCTTGGCTGCCAGCTTCCCCACTGACACGTCCTTGGAAGGGCCCACCTGGACTGGACCCATCATTCCCACAAGAATAGCTTTCACCGGAATAAAGCTCCCCTGTTTGCGATGGGCCGGCCGGCCAGCGGGTGCCCAGACACCACGGGGATGAGCGAGAGCCCTAGTGAGGGAGCACTGTGGGGGTGGAGCTCAGCGAAGGCCCTTACCCCGCTTGCTCTGTTCCTCTGGTTGCAGAGAAGGCCAGGAGTCTCCGGAGCAGTGGCAAAGGATGTACGGGCGCTGCTCAGGCAACGAAGTGTACCACATCCGCATGGGGGACAGCAAGTTCTTCATGGAATACGAAGGGAAAAGCTTCACCTATGCTGCCTTCCATGCCCACAAAAAGTGAGAGCCCCTCCCCCGCTCTCCCCCCCCGCCCCGATCGGTACCTTGAATCCCCGGCGTGCGGTTCCCTGGGGGCATTTGGTAACCGTGGTCGTTTCCTCTCTCTGGGTAAATAGCAGGGCCGTGGGGACTGGCGTCATTCCGTTGCCTCCCATCCGGGCGGGGCGCGTTGCAAAGTTTGCATTTGCTTCCATTTGCCACGGGCTGGGTCAGCCACGCTGGTGGGAAACGTTCACTGAGGCCCGTGCAAGGCCTTTCTGGAAGAAAGAGGGTGCCCCTCTGCGGCGTTGTACAAGAAAACACAGTCTTTCCTAGCGCGTGGCCTTGAATGGCCCATTGCACCGGTTCAACCTCTCTAGTCCGGCAACATCCATAGTCCGGCATGATTTCAGTTAGCCGGGAGTCCACTTCCCACGGGTGCGGCCAAGTTTCCCGCAGTCCCATACAGTGTGTTTACAGCCACCAGTCCTGGCGCTCGATGCTCTGAGCTGTTATTTAGCTCTGATTGGCCCCTCCACATCTTCTCAGTGCCCAGGAACAGTGGAACAGCTAGACAATACTAACCCCCCATGGGTCTGCAGGTTTTCTAGTTCGGCTCCAGTCAGGACATGACGGTGCCGGACTACAGAGGTTCGACCTGTTCTCCTGCCGTAGGTATGGCGTCTGCTTGATCGGCATCAGGCGGGAAGAGAACAAAAGCATCCTGCTGACCCCTGGCCCGCGGCACATCATGACGGCGTCCGACACCTGCTTCTACATTAACATCACCAAGGAGGAGAACTCCGCCTTCATCTTCAAGCAGGAGGAGAAGCAGAAGAAGAAAGGCTTTGCAGGGAGAGGGCTGTACGATGGACCGTCCCGGCTGCCTGTTCACAGCATCATCGCGAGTATGGGTGAGTCCTCCGAGGAGGGGAGCAGCACCCCCTGCTGGAAGGAGCAGGCGGAGGTATTCGAACGCCTGCCGAGTCCCCTGGTGGCAAGCCTGGCGATGCTCAAAGGGGTTTGGTGAGGGCCACGGTCTCCCGGGACAGGGCAGGTTTGCTCACTGCGCTGGCGTCTCTAGAATTTGTGGGCGGAGCCGACGGAACCGTAGCAGCGCTGGGATTGGCTGCCAGAGGGAGCGTGCGGCTCTCCCAGCCAATGGCGTGTGCAAGCAGCCTGCACCTCACTTCATGTACCCTGGCTTTCCGTCGGGGTCGCTTCAGTAACACCCGTGGGGGAAAACCTATGCAGAGGAGAGCCAGCAGAAACTGGCAACCCTGGGCGTGGACAACTGTAAATAAAATGTCTCGTGGGCCACACATAGGGGCTGCCGGTGGCCCCCTACTGCTGTAAGCTGTGTGCTTGTGCAGCTGCTCAAGAGAGATTTAGATGCTGCCCGCTGATTAGCAGAATGCCCGCATTTTTGTTTCTGCTGGTGGTGCACGTTGGCACGGCCTGGTGCACATAAAAATTTATTCCGCACGCAGATAGGGAAAAGCCACACCTGGACGGGAAAGATTAGAGGGAACGTTGGATGTGAAACACCTGCACAGCTAAGCATGAGTGCTTTGTGATCCTTTTCCTGCTTAACCCCAATGACCCAGCTCCTCTGGGTTGGACGAAACCAGAAACTTCACCCGAGACTCAAACCTGGATCTGAATGGTTACGAAAGCGGAAAAGTCAGGCAACTTGCAGTGGTCCCAGGGAGTTCTGTCCAATGGTTAGAACACAGAATGGGAAGCCAGGATTCCTGGATTGGATTCCTGCTCTGCCACTGCTGTGCTGGGCAACCTTAGCCAAGTCACTTAACCTCCCTGACCTAGCTGCATTGCTCGCTGACAAAGGCAGTCATTCACCTCTAGTACTGCTCTTCTCTATGGCTTATGGCCTGGAACCGCCCTGTTCATAATGCTGCTCAGAGACATGTGTACGCTGTTTCCTCCGCGGTTGCGATCACAGGTGGGAGCTGTACTGACCAAGACTTGTGGCCATGGCATTTGCAAGCATGCATGCAGTTTCACCATCTGTACAGTGAAATAATACCACCTGCTTCTGAGAGAGCTTGGGGCTTAGCTAATATTGGCCAAAAGCTCTCAGAGCTAGGACTGCCGGCTACCGAGCATTTCCTGGTTGTGCTAATGGCTAATCGTGTCTGACTAGTATGACAGAGCCAGGGAACTGCTTCTACTATAGTTTGCAGGAGTTGAAGTGCTACCCTCCGTTGATGTCACTGGCACAACTGGGCTTGGGAGCGAGTCGATCCCTTTGCCGATCCAAGCTGTCACGCTCTGTGCCGTTCCGTCACCCGTGGTCATGAAGGGCCCTCTCCCTTTTCCAAGTTACCAGTGTCTCTTTGCCACAGAGATGGCTGCTTTCCACGCTGTCCTGGATGACACCTCTCTGCCCCCTTTGCTGTCTTGTCAGTAGCCGAGGAGTCCCGGGGGAAATTAATTTTCTGCCGTGTCCCCTCTGCGAGGAACCCAGTGCCACCCCTTTTGGTCTCTTGCGAAAAGGAACACGTTTCTCATTGGCAAATTGGGTTCAATTGGAGCCGAAGGGTAGCCCATACTCTGCTGCGGTGCAGATGGAAAATAAATAAGCCAGTAGCACTGGGCACATTGGCTTATTACAAGGAAAACAGAGGCAAGGATGGGGGGAAAACAACAGCTGAAAATTAAGTCGGGGATGGAATCCCACATGGGCCGTCACCCAACAGATGTCTGCGGATTTCCCCTTTGGAAATAGCCCAGAGCAGGTGCTGGCAAGCAAAAGGGAGCTCGTCTCTCACTTCCTTTTGCACAGATTATTCCTGGTTTTCAACTTCAGTCCCCAGACAGAGGCCAGATCTACACTAGACCCAGCAGCTCGGCTTAAGGTTCGCAACTCCGGCGACGTAGAATCCGTACAATATGCCACTGGAGTGGGCTTGTCTTACGCCGAGCTCTACGGTATCCCCACAGTGGGAGGTTGATGGGGGCAACGCTTCCATCAGCTTCCCTTATTCCTCGCAAGAGCAGGAGTCCTGGCCACTGGCGGGGGTGCTCTCTGAGTTTGACTTAGTGAGTCTTAACTAGACCCGCTACGTCAAACTCCAGAAGATTGATTGCGGCAGCGGCCATCCTCCGTGGAGCGAAAGCAAGCCCAAAGGGAATCCCTGAAGTTGCTTTATGGGCATGAATGTTCCTTCCTGAGGCTAATGCAAGCAGCGTAGTGTGGGAGATTTGGAGGGGAGGGGAGGATAGCTCTATAAAGGCACCTGCATTGTTTCCCTGCTGGGAAAGCAGCCAGTGCCCAGCAAACAGCGAAGTGAAATCACTAAGAAAATCTGGCCTTGCCTTCTGCTTTGACAGGGGGAGAAACGCCGCTGGGACAGAGCCATGGAATGCAGCTGTCCTGCAATTCCCCCGTGAACAATGCCCATTTGTTTTTAAATTGCTCTGAGCCGTGAAACGCCAGAAGCAGGTTCTTAACGGGTTTTATGGTTCTGCCACAGCCAGCCCCAGGCTCCCAGCTGTTTCCTACTCGTGCTGGGAGCGGAGGCTGGGAGAGAAGCCTCGAGGTATGGGGCTGGCTGCCTTCCCCATGCTGGAGAGGCAGCGAACCGGGAGGTGCGCCCCATGTTTCACCTTCCTCGCTCTAGAGGAGGATTTAGGGCCATGTTGCCTTCTCTGCCGCAGCGAGCGGGGGGGGGCATGGTGGGAATTTGGAAGAGCCAAGGTATGCCAGGAGGGGGAAGGCACTGGCCCCACCCACACTCTGCCCCCAGAACGTCTAGTGGTGCTGGAGAGGCTGAGGCCATGTGCCACCCCCACCATGAGGCTGGGGGTGGGGCCTGAGCAGAAGGGGTGGAGCCGGGGGCAGGGTTGGACTTACCTTCACCCACCGCCCATGGGAAGGGTAGATCCAGGGATCGGCTTCTCTAGGCATGGTGATTAGGAGTTATTGCTGCCTCTCATGGCCTCTACTACTCTACTGCCAGGAAAGACTCCTCCGACGTGGTCTGGGGGCCCATGGATAGGGTCGCCAGGTGTCGGGTATTCACCTGGACAGGCCGGTATTTTCAGCTCCTGCCCGGTAAAAAAATTCAGAGAATACTGGACACCTGAGATGTCTGGTATTCTCTGAATTTTTCCCTGACTAGGAAGCAAAAATGCCAGGCACCTGGCAACCCTACAAACATTTAGTGCCCAGCCTTCCCCCGAGCTCTCCTCGGACCCCAAATTGCACTCCGCAATGTGCGTACCTTCCTCCAATAAAAAGCAGCAGTCTAGACATAACCTGGGTTGTGAGAAGGAAGGGAAGTTGATGGGAGAATTTCTCCTGTCGATCTCCTGCCGTGGGGACGCTGCAGAAATTCAACCTAAGGTACGTCGACGCCAGCTACGCTGCTCCTGTATCTGGAGTTGTGTAGCTTAGTTTGACTTTGTCTCCTGCCTGGTCTATATTTTGGCTACTCCCTTCCCTAAGCTGGCCAGGTGCTCTCCTGGCCTGCTGCTACTGCGGAAGGTGACAGACAGCAGCTTCTCAGCAGTACCCTGCTGGCTTGGGGCCGTCCCTCCATATTCCACTGATTAATTCTAGGGCTTCTGTAATGAGGCTCCAGTTGTTTTCTGCAGTAAGAAGGGAAGCTCGGTCGCTAATGGCTTTTTAACCTCACAGCAGGAGCGGGCTCAGCTGTATTGGCTGTAATTCATCCTCCCAGGTCTGTATGAGCTGTAAGCCTGCCAGCAAAATTCATCCCTGTGTGCGATATTGAATTATTCCCAGTGAAAAATGCCTGGCCCGGTTCCTCTCTCCTAGGTGGAACAAAATGATGGCAGGAGGAAGTATTTTTGTCCTGGTTGGATTCCGCCCTGAGCACAAGAGACTAGGGCTCGCAGGTGATCCGTACCGCTATAAACCCGCAGCTCTCCGTACACGGCTGAACGTTCCCGCCTCGGATTCTGTTCCCGACCCAGCTGCTGTCTGGCTGCTTCCAGGGAGAGCCGGGGCTCTGCAGCTGACTGGCTTTCACGCCACATTGGGGATCATTCAGAGCGATACAGAATCAATCTGGCATGAATGGATTAAACACTGGCTACCTGACAGGTCTCAGACAGGAGCCGGGGAATCAGGAGCAGGGGGTCCCACAAGAGCAGTTCTTGGCTCTGTGCAAGGCTAGTGATTGGATTGCTCACCGGCAAGCCGGGAGTCCTGGGACAGACCCAGACCAGCTGGCTACGGTAGCGTGATGGGAGGTAAAAACTCAGGCAAATGGGGAAGTAGTTTTCTGTTCCCAGAGTGACCAGCGTTCGGTCTGCTGGAGAGCAATTAGGAGCCAGACACCTGAGCCAATTAGGAGCAGGCCAGAAGCAAAAGAGAGACCAGCTCATCAGGCAGCCTGTTGAGGACCTGCTGGGGCCGGGTGAAATGTCTTCCCCTCGGAGAGGGCAGAGGCGCTAAGGCGGGGGAGTGAGGAAGCACGCTGGGGAGGAGCAGGAAAGGCCTGCTTGGGTACCAGGCAGAAGACCCTGGGAGGGGTCGTTTGGGGAGGAGGCCCAGGGAGCGGAGGAAACGCTGCCTGTGGCCACTGCTTTAGGATCTCTGGGCTGGAACCCGGAGTGGTGGGTGGGCCCGGATTGCCCCCAGCCCTCCCCATGCCACTGCCCCCGAGAGGGGAGACTGGGACTAGGGGGGTTTCGCCCCAACCCACTGACTGGCCTGTGAGGAAGGGGGCTCAGGAGGCCATGGGCCTGGCCTCCAGTGAAGGTGGAGAGGCTACGTGGAGGGCCACAGTGAGTCTCTGAGGCAAACGTTAACCCCCGAGGCCAGGCCGAGGTCCTTTACGACAGCGCCAAGGCTGCCCTGGGCGGGCCAAGCCTGGCCACACAGGGGCAGAAGGGCACTGCTGGCCGGCGCTGCGGGGGTTAACACGGCCTCTGCCTCTGCAGGGTGGCCTCTGCGAGCTGCTGCAGCCTGCAATCCGGGAGCCGGGCACGCGGTGCCGGATGGCAGCTGTAAGGGGCGCACCCATAGGTTGGCACCCTGAGCAGCTGCCCGGCTATCGCATGCCTTAATCCGGCCCTGAGCCCCGGTACAATAGGAGCCGGCAATTCAGACAACTCCTTTATCCTTTTATACTCGTGAAGTTGCGAAGATTCTCCCGGCAGCAAGACACAACGCTCCTCGCTGAACGGGACTGGCTGATATTGTGGTTACTTGGCTTGTTCTCAGAGGGGGCTTTTTCAAAAGTCAGATGAGAGAGAGAGAGGCATTATATTCTGCAAGTAGGTCACTCCGCATGCAGCTAGTTGGCTAGCAACGAGAGGGAGCGAGCTGCACTCCTGCGCTTCGTTCCCTGTGGCGTTCTCCACCCTGGTAGCGGTTCCAAAATATTTGCGTTTTGACAAAGATGGATGACAAGCCGATGGTCCCGACTTCCAAAAGGGACAGCTGAGTTTGAGTAGGTAGGACCTTAAAGGCGACCGATTTTCAGAAAGTGCTGGGGGTCTCCTCCCCCCCTCAGAAAATCGGGCCCTTGTATGGATTCTCAAGTTGGGCACCCAAAAAACCCCAGAGGCATCCAGCAGAATCTAGAATCGTGCCTGAACATCTTGGCCAAAGTACCTAGCAGAACAGGGTTAGAATTTCTGAAAGGAACTGAGGAAGAAAAGTGCCTGGGTCCTGCCGAAAGTCATTGCGTGCCTAACGCTCTTATGTGGGTCGAAATTCTCGCCCAAATGCTCCATGTGGAATAGTCAATGGAAGGCAGCATTCAAGAGCAACGTTCTGGCCTGGCATGGTTTGGTGCCAAACGATGAGCCACATTTATTTTTACAAAATGGATGTGGGTGCAAGGGGGGCTATTGGGGGGGGATGGAATTGGAGCAAGTTCTAGGCTTGCTGGAGGTACGTGAGACACGATGAACCTCACTGATTCATGTCCCCGGATTAACAGCTCCCTGCTGCTAGGGATTTCAGCTGGGAGACTTGGCAAAGGTGAAGTTTTGAGAAGGTAAAGCGCAAAGCTCAAGGAACGTCACCCTTGAGGTGGCTTTTCAGAGCTTCCAGCAGCGTGGAGCGGGGCGCGGGCTGGGCCTCATCCAGAGACGGTGTTAATAATTCCGCTCGGAGCATCCTTAGGCAGCTCCCTCAGCCGATGTCACCGTGTTTCACAAACGTGAACGGGGGTGAACTATAGGCTGCACTCACAGCCCACGATCCCGGAAAGAGGGCCATGTCGACAGCAGCACGTTCACCACCTCCGAGACACAGCTGCGTGTGGGCTGCCAGGCGATATAAATTGCCTCTCGTGTAGGAGGTTGGCCAGGATACCTAGATCAGTGTCGCAGTGCCACTGTATACCTTGTAGTTTAGGCCTAAATCTCCTTTCCAGACACTGGCGACACCCAACCCATCCAAGCTATTATTTGGATACGCCCCCAGGCTTTGAGTGGCCATTTGGAAAGATACAAAGTGTTCCACTTGAACATAAAAGGGTAAGGGACACATGAGTCTGGCATGGGTAGTTTGCCTGTGATGTCTCATTCAGCTTAGAAAAGAGGAGACTAAGTGGGGAGAGGGTAGAGGTCTATAAAATCATGATGGGTGTGGAAAAAGTGAATAAGGAAAAGTTATGGACTTGTTCCCATAACACAAGAACTAGGGGTCACTAACTGAAATGAGTAGGCAGCAGGTTTCAAATAAACAAAAGGAAGTTTTTCTTCACTCAGCACACAGTCAACCTGTGGAACTCCTTGCCAGAGGATGTGGTGATGAGTAGGACTTTAACAGGGTTCAAAAGAGAGTTAGATAGATTCGCGGAGGTTAGGCCCATCAGTGGCTATTAGTCAGGATGGGTAGGAATGGTGTCCCTAGCCTCTGTTTGTCTGGAAATGGGTGACAGGAGAAGTATCACGGGAGGATTTCCTGTTGTGTTCCCTCCCTCTGGGGCATCTGGCATTGGCCACTGTCAGCAGACCGGACACTAGGCTAGATGGACCTTTGGTCTGACCCAGGATGGCCGTTCTTATTCTTATTGTGTCTTTGAAATTCCCAGGTGTTAGACATTTTCCTGGAGCTATGACTCATCCGTTGGTTTAAAAAAAAATCCTCATTTTAGTCATTTTTGTAAGAATCACCTTGGCCCCTGGCTCTGGTGTTTGGAGTGGCCAAAGGTGTATCCACATTTCAACAACAAGACCATGGACGGTCTTCAGAGGGCTTGGAATGTGGGGTGTATTTATGAACGCAAGCGATTGTACACATCCGTCTTTTAATGGTTTGAGGATTTTTTGGTGAGGAACGCAGGTGGCAAGAGCGTCATTCATAAGTGTTTAAGGGATGTAGGAGGCTTGAAGGCCAGTGGGACTTCTGCTCCTAAATTCCTCGGTGTCTCCCCCCACGATAAACAAAATGGCGCCCAAAAGCTTGGTCGTTTGACAGCTCAGATTTTGCAGGGGGAAAAATAGAATATTTGTTAAAGCCCATAATGCCAGTGGCTGTTTTCTCCATTATGGAGTTACTACTGCAGCATCCAAAAGGGGACCAGTTCTGCTGAAGAGCTGCTTAGAAACCAGGCCACGCGAAGAGGGGAGCAGCTGCCGGGCGGTGATATTTTCCCATTGTATGTTAGGATGGGCTTTCGCTGAACCCAGCGTTTAGGGCTAGACTGTTCAGAAGCAGCGACCAGCAAGCAGGCAAGCAAGCGGAACTGTTCCCATGTTTGAAACTCTGGGAGACAGAGGTTGCCCTCAAATGTTCCAGTCAAACCGGGGTTATTTTGAGTTCAAATATTGTCAGAAAATGTGTTGTGCTAGCTGGGAAATTCAGCGAGTTGGAAAAACAGCGATTTGAATCAGCGGGTCAAATTGAGGGAGGAGGTTACCCCTCCTCACTCCACCTATAAATCCAGCCGTACCCCCGATATGTCAGACTGACACTCGACTCACGAGGGATCTCTAGGACATGGTCTGTCCTTGACTATCTTGTGAGCAGTGCCAAGTAGCGAAACGGGCCATTAATGTGTTGACATGTTTATTGTTCGACTACAAAGTCGATATCCCTTTGCCATCGAATCGGGTGAGCTCACGTGTAAGTGTTCTCCACGTAGTCAGGTGTTGGTTCAAGTTTTGGGGGATGCTGTCCCAGGACTGTTATAAATCAGACCGATTCGGCTTAGAGAGGCGGAGACGAAGGGGGGAGAGGAGAGAGGTCTATACAACTATGATGTGTGGAAAAAGTGAATAAGGAAAAGTTATTGACTTGTTCCCATAACACAAGAACTAGGAGTCGCCAAATGAAATTAATAGGGGGGGGCTGGGCTGTCTGCCCCAGCTGCCAGTTCCCCCCAAGGGGGAAGTAGTGGTTCCTCCTGGGGCATGGGGGCTGCACAGCCCAGCCCCCCGGCCACTGGCTCCTGGTGGGGGGTGGGAGGGGAACTGTCTGCCTGTCCCCACCCCCAGCTTCTACTCACAGGGAGGAAAGACCAGGGCCTGGCCATGGTTCCCAGTCCCCCAGCCACTACTCGCAGGAGGACTGGACTGTGGTTCCCAGCATCTCTGGGGGGAAGGGGGTGGAGCTGTATTGCCTGGCCCCGGGGCTGGTCCTGGGGTTGGGGCTGCAGTGTTGGGGCCAGTGGCCAGCAGGATACCCCCACACCCAGCACTGCAGCCGAGGGCTGGGGGGAGGGATTAGGGGCAGGAGGACCACTCCCTCGGTCCAGTGGCTGGCAAGATGGCAGGCCTCAGCTGCCTCCTCACTTGCTGGTGTGGCCTCGCCCGCCCCCCAGTGGTCACTCTGCAGTATAGCTGTCCTCCACACTCGCAGCCCCTCCCTTTCGATGTGATGGAAAACCATCGGATTCCAGGTGCATCCCATTTTCCTGGCCCAACCAAACCTGAGCGTTGCTTTAAATTAGGATAAGAGGAAGCTGCTTACCAAATTCGGTGGTCCTCGCTGTGACGGTTTAGGAGGACAAACAGACTCACTGACAGACACACATTTCTAAACGCTATAGCTAGATAAATAGCTGACTTAATAAAGAGGTAACCAATTTTATACAGTCCAGTTGACCCTTCTTACAAAGTGTGACCAGATGTTCTTCCTGTTCTTTCTTCCCTGCAGTGCCGTTGGGTAAGGCAGTGGAAGAATTGTTATTGGTCCATTTATTTATTGCTATTTATATTGTTCGTCCTTCCTCTCCCTTTCCAGGTACAGTGGCCATGGACCTGCAGAACACAGAGTGCCGCCCTGCTAACAGCAGCAAACTAACCCTGCCAGCTGAGAATGGCTCAGGTAACCGACGGCCCAGCATCGCCCCGGTCTTAGAGCTAGCAGACAGCTCTTCTCTCCTGCCCTGTGATCTGCTCAGCGACCAGTCAGAAGACGAGATGACTCAGTCCGACGACGAAGGACTGACTATTGTAGAGTGAGTTATCATCTGAGAGCATCATCTCTTAATTTAGGGTCACTGCGTCAGCCTAAGCAATCCACGCTAGGTGGCTCGGGATTTTCAGAAGACTTGAAAGGGTTTATATGTCCAATTACCAGCGCATGTCTAGACTACGTTTTAATTTCAAAAGAGGATATGCAAATTCCTGCATATCTTCTTCCAATCACATTTTCGAAAGAGGATCTTCTGAAAGTGAAAGTAGTCTGGATGCACTTTTTTTCGGGAACTCCCCCCCCCACCTTTTTCGAAAAACCACGTAAACCTCCCTTTTTTAGGAAAAGGGTTTTAAAAAAAAACGTGCCCAGACTACTTTCATTTTTGAAAGATCCTCTTTCGAAAATGCAGTCGGAAGAATCCCAAAATTAAAATGTAGTCTAGACATGTGTCTTTCACTTAACTCCGTGGTTGTTTGATCTTGTTTATATGGTGGTAGTGATTAAAAAGTTCTCATCCTGGGCCAGGGTGCGAGGTGTGATGGAAACGCATGCCAAAAAATGCTCCAATAAATCTGTTAGTCTGTAAGGTGCCACAGGACTCCTCGTCGCTTTTGCAGATTCAGACTAACATGCCTACCCTTCTGATAATTGGTTCTGACAGTTGCCTGCACCAGTTACTTCAGAGGAAGGTCACAGAAACCTGCCAAAGGCAGTTATTCAAATAATTAGAACAATTTAAAATACTTCTGGGGTTTGGAATGTTAGGAATCATTAAAAAGGGATAGAAAATAAGAAAGCGAATGTCTTATTTCCTCTATATAAAACCATGGTTCACCCACATCTTGAATACTGAGTGCAGATGTGGTCGCCTCATCGCAAAAAAGAGATATTGGCATGGGAAAAGATTCAGAAAAGGACAACACAAATGGTTAGGGGTTTAGAATGGGTCCCATATAAAGACAGATAAAAAAGACTTGGACTTTTCATCTTAGAAAAGAGAAGACTAAGGGGGAAGATTATAGAGGTCTATAAAATCATACCTGGTGTGGAAAAAGTGAATAAGGAAAAGTTATTTACTTATTCCCACAATATAAGAACTAGGGGTCACCCAATGAAATTAATAGGCAGCAGGTTTAAAACAAATAAGAAGTGTTTCTTCATTCAGCACACAGTTAACCTGTGGAACTCCTTGCCAGAAGATGTGGTGAAGACTAGGACGTTAGCAGGGTTCAAAAAAGAGTTAGATAGATTCATGGAAGTTAGGTCCAGCAATGGCTGTTAGCCAGGATGGGTAGGAATGGTGTCCCCAGCCTCTGTTTGTCTGGAAATAGGTGACAGGAGAGGGATCACATGAGGATTCTCTGTTGTGTTCCCTCCCTCTGGGGCATCTGGTATTGGCCACTGTGGGCAGACAGGATACTGGGCTAGATGGACTTTTGGTCTGACCCAGTCTGACCGTTCTTATGTTCTGATGGTGCATAGACTATATTTGAGCTATAAAAGCACCAAGCTGCAATGTTTGAGCGTGTGTCTTAAAACTAAAGATCCTGTGCTATAAAAATATATCAAAACAGGCATACTGGGTCAGACCAAAAGTCCATCTAGCCCAGTTCTCTGTGTTCTCATTGTGGCCAATGCCAGGTGCCCCGGATGGAATGAACAGAACAGGGAATCCTCAAGTGATCTCATCCCTGTTGCCCATTCTCAGCGTTGGACAAAATGAGGCTAGTGACACCATTCCAACCCATCCTGGCTAATTGCCTTTGATGGACCTAACCTCCACACACAAAGAAACACACAAAGAAAGTGTCCAGGATAGGCAAGAGGCTGCCAGCAGGCCAGGTCTGGCCCACCTAGCCCCCAGATCTGGCCCACGTCTGCCTCACTAGTACCCTTAGCCAGAGAACAGTTCAAGCTTTAAAAAGCCAGCTGTTCTCTGTTCCAGAGAGCTGGGGTGGGAGGAGGGAGACTTCTCATGCTGTTCCCGCCCCTCAGCAAAATCTCTTAGCTCCCGTTGGCCAGTCTGTCAGTTTCCAGCCAATAGGAGCTGTGCATTTTTGCTGGAAGCAGGAGCAGTGTAGGAAGCCTTCTCCCTCCCTCCTCAACCGCCTCCCTCTCATACCCGGAGTGGAGTCATGTGGAGCAGCCTGCAGCAGATAGTCTGCCTCAGGTTTCTGCTGGTAAGTGCCTCCCCGCCAAAGCCTGCCTCTGCCTCCCGCTCTGGCCATTCAGAAGATCTCTGCCCCCTCCTGCACCCATACCCCCTCCCAGATCTGGCACCCCAATCTCCTGCCCGGATCACAATCCCCTCCTACCTTAGGTCACATCCCAAAATCCTGCATCTAGGGTTGCCAGGTGTCCAGTTTTCGCCCGGAGAGCCAGTTATTTCAGGCCCCATCCAGTAAAAACAAACAAGCAGAAAATACCATCTGGAAAGGGTGCTGGGAACGAGGCACATGGGGATTTTTAAAGACGCAGCAACCTTTTTTTTTTTTTTTTTTTCCTCAACCAAGTTTTTTTCCTGCCATGTTCGGGATTTTTGATGAAAGCACCTGGCAAGCCTACCTGCATCCCAGTCCCCTGCCCTGGGTCACAACTGCCTCCTTCACCCAAATTCCCTCCCAGACCCCATTTTCCATCCTGTACCCCAATCCCGTACCCCATAAGAACACAAGAACGACCGTACTGGGTCAGACCAAAGGTCCATCTAGCCCAGTAGCCTGTCTGCCAACAGTGGCCAGCACCAGATGCCCCAGAGAGGGTGGACCGAAGACAATGATCAAGCGATTTGTCTCCTGCCATCTCTCTCCAGCCTCTGACAAACAGAGGCCAAGGACGCCATTTTATCCCCTGCACCCAAGTTCCCTTCTGCACCCAACCTCCATCCCGGACCCCGGAACTCCTCCATTAATATCCTGGAAGAGTGTGGCCCTCAACCTCTTTCCAAAATCTTGGAGTGGCCCCCACATCAAAAATTATCACCCACCCCTGGTCTACCCAGACGTGAGCCAAGGCAGATTAGTGGTTCTGCTCATCTTAGAATCAGGGACTTTTCCAGTCGAGGCAAACCTGTTTCAGATGAGCATCTCTGTCTTTTGTTTATTACACACCAGTTACAGGCATGAGAGTTCAACAGTGAATTGGCATTTTGTATGTTTAGCTGCTGGTCCCAGGGGGCTTTGTTCCTGGTTGAGGCTACTACGCATTACAGTCATGTAAACATAAGCAAAATGCAGGACTATGTAGCACTTTAAAGACTAACAAGATGGTTTATTAGGTGATGAGCTTTCGTGGGCCAGACCCACTTCCTCAGATCAAATAGTGGAAGAAAATAGTCACAACCATATATACCAAAGGATACAATTAAAAAAATGAACATATATGAAAAGGACAAATCACATTTCAGAACAGGAGGGGGATGCAGGGGGGGGGAAGGAAAGAAGGTAAGTGTCTGTGAATTGATATTAGAGGTGGGGAGAGTGGGATGTCTGTGAGCTAATGGTATTAGAGGTGATAATTGGGGAAGCTATCTTGGTAATGGGTAAGATAGTTTGAGTATTTGTTCATTCCTTCCCGGAGAGTGTCGAATTTTAACATGAATGACAGTTCAGAGGATTCCCTTTCAAGTGCAGATGTAAAAGGTCTTTGTAGCAGAATGCAGGTGGTTAAGTCATTGAGAGAGTGTCCTTGCTGGTTCAAATGGCAAGAAACTGTTTTCTCTTTGTGATCTTGTCTGATATCTGTTTTGTGGGCATTAATCCTTTGGCGAAGTGTCTGAGATGTTTGTCCAATGTACATAGCAGACGGACACTTTCGGCACATGTTAGCATAAATTATATCTCTGGATGCGCAGGAATATGTGTTCTTGATCTTATAACTCACTTGGTTAGGTCCAATAATGGTATCAGCAGAATGAATATGTGGACAAAGCTGGCAACGGGGTTTGTTGCAAGGGAAGGTACCAGGGTTGGTATTAGTGTGGTATGTCCTGTGGTTGTTGGTAAGAATCATCTTGAGGTTAGGTGGTTGTCTATAGGAGACTATGGGTCTGTCTCCCAGAGCCTCTTGGAGTATGGTATCCTGTTCCAGTATAGGCTGTAGTTTATTGATAATGTGTTGGACAGGTTTAAGTTGGGGGTTGTAGGTGATGACAAGTGGTGTTCTATTGTTGGTTTTCTTGGGTCTGTCTTGAAGTAGATGGTTTCTAGGTATTCGTCTGGCTCTTTCAATTGGCTTTTTTATTTCTCCGGGTGGGTAGTTGAGGTTTAAAATACTAATGTTGAGAGCACCATTAAAATCGCTGGGACTTTTGACTTTGAGGCACTCAAGACCAGTTTTGAAGGGAGATGGAAACAACACCATTGAGATCTTGAAAAATCTGTGCTATTAAAATAGCCGGCACAGCTCATCTTGGTATTTTGCATTTTCCAGTGGAGCAGAAGAACAAACACATGAAATTATTTTACTCTTCACTCACATGCCATTTGCCTAAATTAACTCCTGTTGTTAGTTTTTTTTACTTTGCTTCCACTGTCTGGCTGCAGAAATGGTGATTGAATGTTACCAGCCGAAACCTCATCTAATGTGCTTATAAAACGGTGTTAGAGCAACACCGTGTGGTCAGTTTGGGACATTCACACCAGTAACTTTTCAGACCCTGAGTGTGAAGCAGTTTTGCCTCAAGCACAGCTTCTTGCTTGGCTTTTGGAAACACAGCCCTTGGCCTCTGAATAAGCAGAGCCTTGCAAATGCTTGGACATCTGCTTTATATCCTTTGGGTGTCCGTGTCCCCAGATATGGCTGGACGCAACTCTTTTTTGTGGCTATGGATGCGGGCACAGATACAAATTTAGTAGCTACACCTGTGCAAATGTGAGGATTTCTGCTTTACAGGCAGTCCCCGACGTACGAACAGGTTACATTCCAAACACCTGGTCGTAACTCAGTTTGGTCGTAAGTCAGAAATACCCTTAAACGCGCTGCCCGCGCTGTTCGAAAAACTTAATGTACATGGTTCTCAGCTTGAAAATATTCTAATGGGGTTAATGGGAGGTTGGTCGTAAGTACGGCTGGTCGTAAGTCGGTGTGTTCATAAGTCGGGGAGTGGCTGTATCTCCTCCGGTATCCGCAGCCACGGATGTCAATGCAGGTATCTGCGGCTCGGTTTTGTGGATACAGATACAAATTTTGTATCTGTGCAGGACTCCCTGAATAAGTCAGGCTGAGCTAGAAGCGCTTTGTGGGCTTTGTCCCATCAACTTTTTTTCCTCTGCTACGTCGGGGCGAGGAAGGGATTGTATCTTGCATTTTCCATTGTTCGGGAAATAAAATGTTGATTCCAACTGTAAAAAGATTCATTTGAAGTAGCATCATTTGTGATGTTGCTTTCCTAGGTCATTTGCTTGTGTGTGTATGTTTTTGTGTGTGTGGTGTGTGTGTGTGTATGTGTGTGTGTGTGTGTGTTGGCTCTTACAGGATAAACAATTTATGCCGATGCATGTGTCCACACTCTCACAAATGTGTTTGACTTATAATTTGATGTATGCTTTTAATTACTTTGTAAGCGAAAAGCTTTCTATGCCTTCAGTTAGCTCAGAAACACAAATTACAGCAGGCCCGGTGTGTTTCTTTGTTTTTTTAACTCCTACAACTGCGCTGTGAAATTGCGTGTCTGAATTGAGCTTGGAATGTCCGTGCTGTTCTACGATATTTCGATTTTTAAGATGGGGGGTTCAAACCTGTAGCTGTTAAGAGCTGCTAGATGCCTTTAGCTTCCATGTTGTGCTTTCATCTCTGGTTGTCTGTGAGAACCAAGTCCTAAAAAGTGATTCCCTGAGGGTTAGCCCGGTAAAAGGGTTTTCAAATAAACTTCTCGTGTAAAATGCCCATGCTGTTTTGGGGGTTGAGCCCACTCTGAGCTGAGGTTCTGCACAGCCTGGGTGTGGACAGCTGTGTTGGCAAGGGCAGATAAGTGTTCCCTGGGTGTGTGACAAATATACACGTGCCCTGGTGCTAATGGTGGGTGTTATCTCCTCTGCAGGTATGTGAAAGGCTACCCCCCTAACTCGCCCTATATCGGCAGCTCTCCCCCCCTCTGCCACCTTCTCCCTGTGAAAGCCCCGTTCTGCTGCCTGAGGTTGGACAAGGTAAGAGGCTGCTGTGACAGTATTTAAAGGTTCTGAGTCAGGGGTGGGCAGTAATTTTAGATGGGGGGGCCACTTCCGAAATTTTTGAAGTAGCCCTGGGCTGCCCCAGAAGGGGTGGGGCCTCGGGTGGAAGGGGCGGGGCTAGGACACTTCCGTGCTTCCCCACCCTCGGACCCTGATTGGCGCCCCCCCCCCCCGGCCTCTAACGGGGGAGGGGACTTTGTGTGTTCCCCCGTCCTCGAGCCCTGATTGGCCTGGGGGCGGAGGAGTGGCAGGGCGTCCATGGGCCGGATCAACCCGCTTGGTGGGCTGGATCCGGCCCACAGAGACCCTGTTGCCCAAGCGATAGTGTTTGCACTTGCATTCCTGGCTGGGGTTTGAAGCACGGGGCAACAGTATTACCTCCAGTAGTGAGAATACAAGCCTGGGATTTAGAAGACCAAGGTTCATTCCCAGCTCCGCCCCAGATTTTGTATGTGATCTTGGGCAAGGCGCTAAGTCTCTGTGTATCAGCTCCCCATCTGTAAAATGGGCACAGTAGTACTGACCCTACTCCTGGGGGTGGAATGCGGATAAACACATTAAAGATTGTGAGGAGATCCGTACAGCTGTGGGGGGTATATATGCCCTGTGGCTAGCTAGCAGGAGAGTTACACCGGGACAGGGATGAGAACGGACCCTGCAGCTGTACGTGTCCCAGTTTTCTAGGGTTAGCGTTATGTGGAGCACACAGTGTGTCTCGTCGGTGGCTGTTGGGGGAATAGACATCCTGCTAACTTGGGAAAACGAGAATGTGAAGCCCCCTGCTTTTGGGCAGCAGCTCAAGAGCGGCTGAAGAGTGCCAGGCCGGAACCACACAGGCCCCGCTGTGCCACGGAACGAGTCACTCGGGAGCCACCATCTGACTTTTCGCCTTGTGGCAGATGGTTACTTTGGGGCTGCCTAGAGTGTGTTTGCTTTCCTCGCGCTGTGATTGGTGGGCGGGCTGGAAGCGTTGCATTGAAGAAAGGCAGGCGCTTCACTCGTTTTCTGGGATCAACGTTCCCTTCGGAGCCGTAATTACGGGCCTTTGTGCTGATAACCTGGTTGTCTTCCGTGTAGGGCACCTTGACGTTCCCAGGAGATCGCTGTTTGAGGAGGCAGCTGGCATTTTGCGAAGCAGGAGGCAGCATGTTGTGCTTGCTCCCAATGGCGCTTTACTTTTGTTCTTTCTTTGCTTGTTTTGCCTTAATATGAGCGGATGCATTCCAAGGAGGGGCCAGACTGGCTGGTGCACTGCAGCTGTTTTTCATTGCCCTGCCTACAGGCCTTCCAACGGGGGGCGGTCAGAGGGGGCACTTGCCCTGGGGCCCGGTGATTTAAAAGGGCCCAAGGCTCCAGCCTCCACCTTTGCTGCAGTCGCAACTGGAGCCCAGGGCCCCTTTAAATTGCTGCTGGAGCGCCGCTCCACACGGCTGAGGGCGGGGGCAGTGCTGCCTCCAGCCCCGCCCCTCCCGCCTGAGGCCCCGCCCCTTCCAGGGCTGAGCGCCAACAATCCCCTCCTTGCCCCAGGGCCTGCCGTGGTGGTAGGCCCCACTGCCTGCCTGTGAAATTGAGTCTGACGGCTGGATTGACTGGGTGACCCCCATTTTACCATGATCTTCCAGCCTCACGGAGCCAGCGTACGCGCTCGCACGCTACTCGCCGGGACTCCTTCCTGCTGCATGAGAGGGGTGGCCAGCTGGATCTTTTGCAGGCAGCATAAATTAGAACAACAAGGTCAGGGGAGTGCAGCAGTCAGGTGGAAGACACCCGGGAGACACTCCATCTCGGTGATGGGTTAGCGGCTTGTCTGTCTCTGGGTGCGGATGCACAAGGGAAACACCTGCACTTCATGCTAAAAGGCACCTTCCTGTTGCTGGTGCAGATCGCTTGTTCAAATAACCCAGTCGCGGAACGTTGTTACTCTCTGGCAGCCGGGGGGACGAAACATGTCACTGGTCTGCTGGAGGGTCTTGTCCCTCCTGGACGGGAGTCCTTAGCACTAGTGTTCCCTGTCAGCTGATGTGGCCACCCAGGAGGGATTCGGGTGCTACCCAGGGCTATGTCTAGACTGCAGGCTTCTTTCGAAAGAGGCTCTTTCGAAAGCATCTTTCGAAAGCGCCTCTTTCGAAAGATCGCATCTAGACTGCAGGCGGATCTTTCGAAAGAGAAATCCGCTTTTTCGAAAGAGAGCACCCAGCGAGTCTGGATGCTCTCTTTCGAAGACGGCCTCTTTACATTGAAGAACGGCCTCTTTCGAAAGAGGAACTAATTTCGAAAGAACGCGGCTTGAGTCTGGACGCAGGGGAAGTTCTTTCGAAAAAAGGCTACTTTTTTCGAAAGAACCCCTGAGTCTGCACACGGCCCAGGAGTGTTGTAAGCAAGACACAGAGTCCTTCTTCTGCTCTACTCCATACTGATTGGGCCTCAGTTGGGCTTTGTCTACACTTGCGGCTTCTCGCGCGAAAAATATGCAAATGAGGCAAAGTGTGGAATATCGCCGAGCCTCATTTGCATACCTAATGAGTCGCCATGTTTGCAGAAGAGGCTCTTGCGCCAGAAGCTGTCAACACTGCCCCTTCTTGCCCAAGAAAAACCCTCTTGCGTAAGGCCGTTACGCCGATTATTTTCAGTGCTCCCTCCATGCCCCCCCCCTGCGGGCTGGCCCAGGCCCAGGCCCCACTGCACCCCCCCTCAAATGCTCCTCCGCGCCCCCAGAGGGGACCGTGCCCCACATTTTGGGGGCCACTTTGCAGGATTATTTGCTCCCTCGGGGCGCTCCGGTGCATCTGCACTGCTCACAGCCCCAGCCGGCTCTGTGCTTTTGCCACCTCGGAAACCGTGAGACGGTTCCACTGCCCTGGCGATTTGCTCTTTGCTTTCCCACGGCTTGGTGTCAGGACAGACGGGCCGCTCCCGCGCCTGAGCCCCGGTGCTTTTCTCTCCGCGCAGGGCTGCAAACACAACAGTTACGAAGACGCCAAGGCCTACGGGTTTAAGAACAAACTGATCATCGTTTCGGCAGAGACCGCGGGGAACGGCCTGTATAATTTCATCGTCCCCCTCCGTGCATACTACAGATCCCGGAAAGAGTTAAACCCAATTGTGTTGCTCCTGGACAACAAGCAAGTACTCTTCCAAACCCGTTTTGTATTGAATCCGGTCTCTCCTTGCATTTCCTACTGGGGGGGGGTGTCAATTAAATGGGTGATTTTAACTTTTCTAATAGAATACCTAAAATCTATTGGGCCTGATGGGACAGGAGAATCAAGCCATCAGGTTTACACCATTGATTTCTGTGCACGTCACTCCTGATATATAAAGCAAGAGGGCAAGAAAATGCTCCCAGTAACCTTCTTGTCATTTGCTGCTCTTCTTCCAGGCCTGAGAACCACTTCTTGGAAGCCATCTGTTGTTTCCCCATGGTTTACTACATGGAAGGCACCATCGATAAGTA